TTTTGCCATTTGAAGACATCTGGACCTTAAATTGAGATTGGAACCTGTAAAAGGAAAGGACAGCATGGAAGGTAGAAAGGAGCTAAAGCATTGGGCCATGGGGCCCATAAAAGAGTCTAGAAAGTTGTATTCAGATGTCACCAGTGACGAAAATGAAAACTCAAGAAATGGCGATGATTAGTTAATAGGGCAGGGTAGGGTCAGGTCACCGTCAATGACTTAATTAATGAGCCCTAACAACTCAACAACCGCAACTCACTGATTCTGCTTCTTTAAATAGATTCAGTTAAACCAAAACGTCCATATTAGTCTACCCAATTAACTAGCCTTTACTTCGTGGGGAAGGTAACGCTTAAGCAACCTTCTGTTTTACTAACAAAAAATATTCGAAAAATTAACCAAAAAAAATTGTGTGCTCAGTATTTGATCATACATATGCTCACAATTGCAGAAAGGTTAGTTTTTTTTTTTTTTTTTTTTCATTTGAAGTGTAACAAAACTATGTTGTTATTTTTAATGATTTTTTTAACTTGTATTTTTAGAGTATAGATTAAATATATTTTATAAATAAATTTATATAAAAATAAACAAAAATTTTAAAATTAATATTACGTTGATAAATTTAATTAAATAATTAATAAATTAAATTTTATTTTTTATTTTTTCAAGATTTTTAACCTTACAAGATAAAAAAAACCCTACTTTTAATCATTGGTGGTGGACCTTGATATCTGAGGACTATACTTATTTATTAATAATTATAAGAAATATAATCTAGGCAAATTGCATTTTAGTATTACGTATTATTTTTTTAGCAACGATAATTAAATTTTTTGTAAGTTATAGTGCATTTTTTATTTAAAAAATTAACTCAAAATCCCTACTTTTGGAATAAAACCAAGGTAACTTTATGGTTCACATGCAAATTGTACAAGCTCCCCATCAACCACCTATCACATCTTCATTAAAAAAGAAAAAATTAGCGTGACTCTAAATCAAAATTAACAGGAAATGCAATTGTGTAATTTTTTTTTATCACTATTGTTTATTTTATAATTGCAAGGTTTGCATCCACTTGTATAGGTTAAGGTTAAGTATGTAATATTATGTAATTCAGATTATATAATATATTTTATTTTATTTTAATTTTCAAGCTTTGTGTGTTAACTATAAAAAATTTATATCTTTCCTGCTCATGAAGGGATTTTGAATAAAATGCAGGAAAATTTATGGGAAAGTTAGGAAATTTATACTTGTTATTATGGAGTAATACTACCACTAATTTTCTAGGAGAGAGAAAAAGGGTGCTGGTGGATACATCTTAGGAGCAGAAAATGGGAGTTCCTCCTCTCATTATAGCTGTCAAGAGCTGTCCTTTATACTTTCTTTCAAACTTCAATTGTCCTTTCTTTCTCTCAAAAAATGTCTTCAAGTTTACTACTTCATCTTCATCATTTTCTCTGAACCCAACAAATGTTTAATGGTGTGCTTCGCCTAGTTTCATTCAGGGTTGCACAGGCGAAGAAGAAGCAGGAAACGAGAGAGGAGTGAACTTGTTGTACGCTTGTGTCAAGGGCGGCGGGAAATGAGTGCGTCGAGGTTCATAAAGTGCGTCACGGTGGGCGACGGTGCCGTGGGCAAGACTTGCATGCTTATCTCCTACACCAGCAACACATTCCCTACTGTGAGTAAAGAGCTGACCTTTTAGGGTTTCAGTTTCGTTCCTGGGAAAATGTGGGAAGACTGAAGAGAGGGAGGGAATGATTCTTATTGGGAGCAGAGAAAGAATGAAGAAAGCTCTTGACTTGGTTTTGAGGCTTCTTGTTCTTTCTTTCTCCTCTCATTTTCCCTGGAACCAAACTAGAGCTAGGGTGATTTCTGTTGCTTAGTGTGTGACTTAGTTGCAGTATTTTTGAAGAGGGAAAATGCTTATTAGTGTCTTTTCCTTTGCAGTGTTGTCTTATAGAAATTATATTTGATACCTCTTATTGAGTATAGGTTGCTGTTCTTGAATATTGGGTGTTTCGTGATGAATTTTGTTAAAGTAAGCAATACTAGGGGTTTTATTTGATTCTGTGTTTTCCATTTAACTTGAATAAATAGGCTTTTTGGTAGAGTAGGAGATTTTTTTTTTTTTTTCTCATTTATTGTAGTCTTGAAAACTCTTATGGTAGTGGTTACTCTCCCAGGGTTTTCATGTTAAATTGTTAATTGGCTAATTGAGTGTAAGGACACTTTATTGGCCCTTTAAAGAGAGAAAAGAAAAGATTCTTTTAATTGCATAATTTAACACTAAACTTATGAGCTTAGAGCTATTTCTAAAACTAATGGTAATAGAAGGTTCCCTTAAAAGATGACCCATGATATATTCCTGCTTCATGCTGGTGATTCTTAGTCAATTACACATGATTTTGTTTTGTATATGAAAAATTCTAGTTCTAGAATTATTTTGATAAAGATTATTATGCAGAGTTGCTTGACATGATTTTCTGATCTCCATTCGCTAGTTTGTTCCCTTCTTTTATGTCAAAATTATTTGAAGATAACTTTGGGAGGTGTTGATTGTAACATTGAATTTCTTTTTCCATTTCCCTCTGCAATGTCTTGGAAACAGGATTATGTGCCAACTGTATTTGACAACTTCAGTGCCAATGTGGTTGTGGATGGAAACACTGTTAATCTGGGGTTGTGGGACACTGCTGGTGAGCTTACTATATGTCATATGTATTTCATTTTCATATCTAAAGATGTTTGTGACAGGCTTGTGTTTTCAATTAATGAAACAGGCCAAGAAGACTACAACAGATTGAGGCCTTTGAGCTATCGTGGAGCTGATGTCTTCCTGCTGGCTTTCTCCCTTATTAGCAAGGCCAGCTATGAAAATGTTGCTAAGAAAGTAAGATTATCGATATTATTTGAAATGTTCTCTCCATTTCAATGTGATGATTTCTGATTGCAATGTACAATGAATATTTAATCCCTTTTTCTCCTTATTTCAGTGGATTCCTGAATTGAGGCATTATGCACCCGGTGTTCCAGTTATCCTTGTTGGGACAAAGCTTGGTGAGATTATCATTCTATTTTTTCTTTTAGATTGATATTATACCTTTTGATGGTCTCTAATTAAGTAGTTTCATTCTTCATAGAACCATTTTTTTAGGAATATGATTTTGCTTGCCCCTAGTTATGTAAAGTAGTAAGAGATAATGGTCAATGCTAATGAAACTTCAAACTTCAATGAAATCTACTCATATTTTATAATCTAAAAATATTGAGGGCAGTTATGATGTGCTCTTTTTGTTTATTTGAACACAATTTTCTCTGAGGATAGAAATTGAACTGGGGCACTGAGTTGGTAGGTGAAGTAATTTGGAGAAAAGAGAAAGTGAGTGACTCTAGATGATTGATGCTAGTCCTTCCATTATGTCTTTGATCTTGTTACTTCTGGATTGGTTTTATTCTGGTGCATATAGCACTAAATTTGGGTGTTCAAATAAGAATAAATAGGTTTCCAATTTGCATGACTATATTGTACTATATTGTTTGAGAATTTTCTTTTGGTGATTGTCTAGTGATTGGTACCAGCATGGTTCATCTGCACTGCTCCTGTCCTGACCCAAACCTCCCTGCTTCTTCTTTTTTTTTTATGGTTGATATTTTCAGAATAATCATAATAACGTATACTTCCTGAAGTTTGCTGCTGACATCACCTCAGTGTATTCTTTTACATTTGCCTTCTCCTTATTTTATGCCTGATATTTTCAGAACAATCATCATAATGTATACTTCCTGAAGTTTGCTGCTGGCATCATCTCAGTGTATTCTTTTACATTTGCCTTCAACATTTTTTGGGGAAAGGCAAAATCCCATAGCAGTAATAGTGCTTGAATTCTATACCGAGTGGCAGAAATCTGTAGTCAGTGCTTTCTAACTTTACCATTAACGTAGCTAATTGTCTAATGTATTGGAAAGAAGGCCTTACAAAATGGCTGCATCTTCTTATTCACAAGCAAAGTGGCATTCTGTATTTGTAGTTAAAAGGAATCTTGTACAACTTTTTATCATGGTTTTATTAGTAAGTTGTTTTAAGGGGATGACCATTTAGTGTTAAGGAAATTTGAGGAAAGCATGAACCAAAAAAAAATTCTTGAAGTGAACAAATGCTTTGAGATGCTAACTTACAAGTAGAATCTTAAGCTGATAAAATTTTCATCTCCTATGATGGAAACATTTGAAGAACATGCAAAAAGTAATTAAAGAGAAAGAAACAGAACCCAAATTTTCCTTCAGGTGGATCCACCAATTTTTTGCTTAATATTACAAAATTTTCTCACCATTGATAATATAATTTCCTTTGCTCGTAGAACTTGTACTGGTCAAGTCCATGGAAAATTAATACCTTGGTTGGGAAAAAAGTAGGCTATTTTGGATGTCTGAAACAGTAATGGCAAATAAAATTTAAGGAAAGCAGTGGAGCAGCAATCTTATAGTGGTATTGGAGAATCAAATGAAAGTTTACTGCTTTTGAAGCTAACAAGTGCTGCAGTGTCTACCTAGCTAGACTGACATTTATAGTTTTTGTCATGTTTCTAACTATATGTTTTAAGGTTTGGACTGTCATTGTTTATGTTACAGTGACTACAACTAGAAGTGCATGTTATTATGGTTTCTAGCCAATATATTCTGGATTGAAAGTATAATTTTATGTTGTGTTTCTTTTTTTGTTCATCAATTTTCTGGTGTAATTAAGTAGAGGGAATAATGGTCGCTGTCATTAGGCTAAATCAAATTCTCTGTTGTGATCAACTGTCATGCTTGTCATGTTATTTTTCAATGCCTACATTTCATCCCATCTTTCCTTTTAATTTTAATGAAAGCTAAACTTTCTTATTGTAGATCTGCGGGATGATAAGCACTTCTTTATGGATCACCCTGGTGCAGTGCCCATCACCACAGCTCAGGTTTTCCCTTCTGCCTGGCTTAGTTATATCCATTTTTTGCTTCTTATGATGCTCTCATCTTCCCAGTATATATTTTATGGTATTCTCACCTCAGCGTGATTTCTATCAAGAGCACTAGATCCTGACTTTTGTTTTCGTTTTGTTGCCCTTGAAAGGGGGAGGAATTGAGAAAGTTAATTGGAGCTCCTGTTTACATTGAATGTAGTTCAAAAACACAACAGGTATGTAAAAATTATTTATATCAACAGAAAGTCTTGAGGAATTTTGCCTCAATCTTGCATTTCTTTTGAGGGAATCTTTGTTAATTATCTTATTAAAATACAGAATGTGAAAGCCGTCTTTGATGCGGCCATCAAGGTGGTTCTCCAACCACCAAAGCAGAAGAAGAAAAAGAAGAGAAAGGCATACAAGGCTTGCTCGATATTGTGATCTTTTGAAACAAAGAGTTCCAAGAGAAAGTCATGACCCAATTAGCCATTTACTCTGCTAGTTTCTCACCATGTCCCTTATCTACTCTCAACTCCAGAAAGCAGCGGCTTGTGGTTTGTAGTCTTAACTGACAGAAGTAGGGAGCTCTCTCTCTCTCTCTCTCTCTTGCTTTCTAAACATCACAATACAATATATGTTTCTTTGAATCTTTCTGTGTCTGGATTGTACCCGATTCTGTATATTATGGTAGTACTGTTGTGTGTTAACATGGAAACTACCTGGAGTTACCTTGGTTTTAGACCTGCTTCATTTCTTTACTAGTATGTGGAAGGAAGAGCTTCTGTAAGAGAAACCAAACTGTCCTTCCTTGTATCATGTGATGTAATCTGATATAATACTCTGAATGGGAACATAAAATATGTTGGTGTTTTAGCATTGAATCCCTCGTTTTTCATTACCTCAATGGAATTACAGCCGGTCGGCTTCATTGCTTTTCCAGACTCCCAACCAAAGTCAATTTAGCCGGGCACGAATATATTTCCTGTAAGTGGTGCCTTGTTTCTTCAGGATATTTCGAATGTGGGCCTTGAAGATGCTCTTCATTGGAATTTAAGCTATCGCTTTAAAACAGGTGTTCCATCCGGAACAAGAATCATTGATTTGTTTATCCGTCATGCTCATGTACTGCTTATTGCCAAAGTGATCACCTTGACATCCTAGTTTTCTATCTTGAAATGGTTGGCTGAGAAAGGCGAATCAAATCTGGGAAAAATCTTATGCATGATTCCTTGGTTCATTGACCTTCCAGAAGGAAGATGCCACCGTCAAATTCAATCTCTAGTAAGGGATTGAAATCCATTCTAGTGGAAGAAAAATGTGATTTAGATTATGGTGAACTCCATGATTCTTATTTCTGAACTTGTTTCCTTCTGGAATTTATTCTGTGCTTGATTTTCTCCATTCTTTGAAAGGAATTGGTGGCACTCTGTTACTTCCATCCTCAGGTTTTCTATTAAATAAACAACCATCTTCCCTACTGCAAGGTGTCCATACTTCTAACTCTCCCTGTGGAATCCTCATCCCCTACCTTGTGAAGCTGTCTCCAATGGCATCCAAAAGAATACTGAAGGAGCTTAAGGATTTGCAAAAAGACCCCCCAACTTCATGCAGTGCAGGTAAAAAAATGATGAAAGTGTTTGAAGAAATTCACCACTGAGAGCCTAGTCATGGAAGCTAGATGGATTGTTTTTCTGCAGGTCCTGTAGCTGAGGATATGTTCCATTGGCAAGCGACCATCCTGGGTCCAGATGATAGTCCCTATGCCGGTGGTATCTTCCTTGTTACCATCCATTTCCCACCTGATTATCCCTTCAAACCTCCCAAGGTATAAAGCAAATAAATTAAATCAAAATTTGGAGGATCAATCTGATATATTCAATTAGTTGTTTTCAGGTTGCCTTCAGGACCAAGGTATTCCATCCAAACATAAACAGCAATGGAAGTATCTGCTTAGACGTACTCAAAGAACAATGGAGTCCGGCTCTCACCATATCTAAGGTAGTAACTTGGCTAGTCCATTTTGCTAACCAAAAGCCTCAACTGTTTTAAGCCATACTTAAAAGTCAAGAACTGTTATACCTACAGGTTCTGCTCTCCATTTGTTCACTTCTAACAGACCCTAATCCAGATGACCCGCTGGTCCCTGAGATTGCTGATTTGTGCAAGACTGACAAAGTCAAGTATGAATCGACAGCCCGGAGCTGGACCCATAAGTATGCCATGGGCTAACCCTCCTCCCTCTATGGGTGCCCTAATCTAGTTAAAACTGTGACACGTACCCCACTGCCTTTTTAGCTTGGAATAAAATGATTTGCCACTTTTGAGTTTAATATACAAGGTAGGTGCTCTGTAATTGCCAAAACTGCAAAAAGCTCAGTCCCATAATTAGTGAGGCCAACCCTAACCCAATCTACTAAAGTAACTCTATCCAAATTGCAAAAAATATATATTTTTTAATATACATACAATCTTAAAAGATCTTAAGTTCTTAATGACAATTTTCCTGCTTGAGAACTTACTTGATCATCTTCAAGAGAACAGGCTTAATTGAAATCCCAAGAATCCCTGAAGTTCATCTTCAAAATCAAATGGTTAGGTTCAAAGGTTTCTCTTCTTCCATTATAAGAAACTACTAAAATTTTGGTTTTCTCCTTGTCATAAGGTCTTAATCATTTCCCTATCACTTCCAGATAATCTACCCTACTTCTATCAAGTACCTAACCATATCTCAGTAGTTAAGGCCGAATATATATATATAATTAGTTGGTCTAACAAATATGCAAATCATTGGCAATCTCCCACATGACCCAGGCAGCAAGTAGAATGCATCCAATTTCAAGGTTTTAATCCTCTTATAAAGTAGCAGATACTAACACTAATTTAACAATTTTTTCCTGTAAAAAATATATATATATATGTAAATCATTGGTTCAATAATAATTGTAGAATAACAATAACAAATCCTAGTTTCAAAGATATCATTAATATTAATGTTAAGGGTGTTCGCGAAGTGATTTGATTCGGATTTTAATCTTTTTTGAACAAATCTAATTTAATCTGTTTGTAAAATTTTTAAACCAGTCTAATTGACAATTACATGATAACTAAACCAATCTAACTTAAATCGGACCATTACAGCTTGGTCAAATTGATAAGTTTTTAATATTATTAAATATATGAGATAATGTAAAAAATTTTAACATCAAATAGAAAATATAATTATAAAACACATTAACATTCAAATTAGTGAAAACATAATAAAATATATAAATTATAAACAAATTCTTATACTTTTTTACAATTGTAAAAATTGAAAAGATTTGAAAATTCTTTTTGGCTATATCACCAAAAGCACTAAAAACAATAAAAGATGACTCCAAATTTTAAGCATAGTACAAGTAATTTTTAAATATTAAAACTAGTTTTTTTTTCTTAATGCATTAATGATTCAATCATATCTTCCTAACCCTTTTAAAAACGAATAAAATTTAATATGAATATCACTAGCATTGATTAGAAGTACTCATAATCAAAATTTAAAACTCTTCAAGTGAACATTCAAGAATAGTAGAATATCAAAACTAGTTCTATTATATAGTTTTAAGATTTCTATAAAATGATACTTCTTTAAAATTTAGTTAGAAGAATCAAAATATTATTTCAGAAACAAATTAGAAATTTAAGGTTCTAAGAATAGAGTTGCAGACCAGTTATGAGGGGTAAAGTTGTAGGTGAATTAAAAATTTAGAATTAAAATTAGAGTGCATGGTTAAAAAGGAAAAATAAATTAAGGAATATGAAGATGTTTTGTTTTTATTTTTTAATTAAGTTAATGGAGTTATTATTTTACAAAACAAGAAAAAGAAAATTTAAAATACTACAAAAATATATATTATATTATTAAATTAAGTTATCTTATAATTGAGTTTTATTTTGTAATTGAGCAATTTGAGCAATTTGAAGATAAAATTACAAATCAAACTACTTATATCGATTTTAAAATTTTATAATTTAAATCAACTCAATTCTATATCAATTTAGTTTATTTTTTACTACAGTGAATTGGTTTGAATTGGATTAATATATTAGATCAAATATAAACACCCTTAATTAATGTGATTACTAAAATATATAATGTCTGCAACCTTTCCATGTGTCTTTGAACCAACTCAATCATTATTATTATTATTATTAACCAATCCAATCATATTTAACCTATAGAAAGTTTGTTATTATTATTATTATTATTATTATTTTAACTTGGAAAATGGGGATAATTGGGAGTGGGGAATTGGAATATTATACAAGCGACTAGTTCCCTGGTGGCGTGTGTGGATGGGTGACTACCCTCCACTCACTCTATGCCTAGGATCTTACAAATGGACTGATTGAATTAATTTTTTTTAAATAATGATTTTTTTTTTGAATAAGTTGTTAAGAAACGAGCTCAAAACTGTTTGGGAGGGAGAATGTACCTTAAACTGTTAGGATACCAGTTGATCTGAAGGGTCAGGTGCTTTAAATAATGAATTATTAATAGTTAATATTTGACAATTGATAATTATTAATATTTATAATTTAAAATATTTAATTTATTTAATTAAAATAATTTATTTTTCTCAAACTAAACGTACATTTAATTTTAATCTTTCATGAAAAACTTATTTTGTAGGTCATAGTTTATTGATTGAATAACTATCATCATTACATCAAAATATAATGAGTTTACATATGTCTATAAAATAAAGTTGTAAGCATATAGTATTCAATCCCAGAACATTTCACCCCCTTAAATGAGGCGCGACGGTAGTAGAGTTCGAAACTCTGATCACTTCACCCAAACACTTAAAGTTTGGGATCGAACCATTAAGTTTAAATACCCGATTCAATATTCATTGCATAATAACAAAAAAAAATCAGCATCTTCTTGTTACAACTTACATGAACAAGTAATTTGTTGTGAATTTTGTAAAAAAAATATTTTCTTAATTTATTTTACAAAGCTTAAATATGTAAGCTATTCTTCCTAAACATCCAATATTGACTTAGACTTCATTTATTAGTATTTTGCACAGACTTTTTTTACATAATAACTTATTTAAAAATATAAATTTAAAATCTTAATTAATTTTTTATATACTTTTATTAAAATTTAATTAGAAAATAGCATATAACAGTCCCAAATCTTATTAAAAAAATTAGAATCATAATTTTAAAAATACCACCTTATAATGAATATTTTTGAATATTTTTAAAAAATCGACTATAAATTGAATGTTCTATTAATATAATTATGTATATTAATTTTCAAGTTGATATAATATTTATAATCATATGGTCAAAAAACTTGTATTTTTAATATATATTTAATAGTGTTAAATTTTATATAATTAATAAATTAGTTAGATATATTTAATCAATATAAAAATTGATATTTATAATTTAATTATATCAATAAAAAATAAATCTGATAATTAATTTTTAAAAATATTTATTAAATAATAATATTTTTAAAGTTAATATTTTATTTTTTTACTTAATTATCATTGTTGATATGCATTATTATCTTTTAATTAATATTTTATATATTTCAAATAAAAAAATAAAAAAAAATCTACAAGTACAATATAACATAACACTGCCCAACAAAACCTTTGTTAATCAAAATTCAACTATATCGACAAAAAAACTGGACCACCATTCAACTCAAGTGCTATCAAAATCATAAAGTCTCTAGGATTCTGCCTCAAGCAAGTTTTGAAACTTTTTTTTTTTAATTGATTGATGTCATGTACACATGCAAGTAGGTTCAAAAGTCTAAGTAAGACGGCCTTCGGAAACAGTAACGTTAAATCAAGTATCACGTATAGGTACATTTTTTTATTTTTTGGATAATAACTTAAATCTGATTTTTTTGTAAATTTGTTAAAAATAAATAAATAAATAAGACAAATAACAACAATTAAATACAGTACACAAAATTAAGTTGGAAAATTATCCCAGCGATGCTTCTACGCTGCAAATGGGATAAGATCATCAGGCTGCTGGAGGTTACTGAGTTTTAGCACAAGGACGGAGACTGCGGACCAGAGGCAGCGGGTGACGGCACTGATCATTATGAGGGGGAGGCAGCGGTCCTCGGCCGCCATACCTTTAATTTTTTTTTGGGGTGGATTAGAATCCTTCTCTGATCATGGGGATTTGTTCCGGATTTTCTTTCCTCACAATCTGGCTTTAAAGATTTGTTTGGCGAAGTAGTACAGTAGTAACTGGATAGTTGAAGAGGATGGTTAGATTGCCTGCCCTAGTCCGTTATTAACGAGGTTGGTAAGCTGCATTAATTACAAGGAAAAAGCGAACATCAAAATCTAAGTTATTTTGGGTAAAAACTTA